CGCATTTGATACAGGAAATTTACTCACACACAAATAATAAATAACCAAGTAAAGACAACACAAGAATTACGTGGTTCAATCTCTCAATAGATCTATGTCCACGGGCAAAACACAATCTCACTAGTACAGAAATAGAAGAGATTACAATTCCAACTCTCAACTCTAAGTCTATGCTCTCTCACTGTGTTATGTCTCCCACCTCTCTAACTCTAGTGCAAAATACATTTGATACTAAAGAAGTATTAACTCTATTGGACTCCCTTCTAACCCACTTCAAAATGGACTTGGGCTTAGAGGCGTTAATACAACATCACCAACTTAACTCTTACGCTGCATTCATCAAACATGCCTCCTTGGTATTCAAACTCTATTAATCTTGAGAATGATATGTTAAAGGAGTTTTGTTCTTTTTAGAGAAAGATTTGTCTTGAGGAAGTCCAAAAAGGTGAAACTTGAAAAGCCCAAAAAAAATTAAGCTGAAGAGGATGGTAAAGTGTCCTTGGAGTTCCTCTTGATGCCCGCTTTTAGCACGCAACTTATGCACAAGTATTCTAAGTTGAGAGTCATATGTTTCCACATGTAAAGATTTTCTTTGGATTGATGATCAGGAATAATAGTAAAATAATTGCGAAAACTATTCATGGGAGATAGAAATGTAAAACCAAATGATGAAATATGGAGGGAGATGTAAAGAGAGAAATAAAGAGTTTTTTTGTTTTTTTTTTTTACATATTTGCATATGAGATCTTTGATGTGCCTAACATTGTTAATGCATAATTTTTAAACTCTAATTTAATCCAAATAAATTTTAAAAATGACATTTTTTAATGCATTTTTATATTAGGGTAAAAGTGTGCGGTGTAATATTGTGACTTTTGGAGACTTTATCATTATGATGAAGACTTTATCATTATGATGAAAATTAAAAAAAAAATTGAAAATTTCTTAAAAGGAAATGTTAACAGGCAGAGATTTTTACAAATGTTGTATTAACTTTTCTATGTTTTACTCTACCTGTCCAAACAAACATAGGTTAGTTCTCTTTCTAGTAACTTCTAATACAAATTTTACTTAAAAATCGAATCATGCCTTCAGGGTTTGCTCAACGGCAAAATCAATGGTTCGCTTCCTAGTACCGCTGAGGCTTAAAACTTTGAATGTTGTGGCTGTGAGGAGTGACTTTCATAATCGCTTAGGAAGTTCTATTCAAACAACCCTATAAATTTACAGATAATGAGCAATGTGTAGGTTACCTTCCCCTATCTGATATATTGTCAAAAGATCGTTTATTAACTTAACCATCCTGTGGTCAGATATAATATAGGGCACTTAACCATCCTGTTGTAAGGTGTTCCTAGTATGATATGCACGCGCTCAAAACTTGGATTTTTTTAAATTGTCATTTATTATCCTTTTTCTCTGGGATTTTTTATTTTTAAATCCCCATAACCGTCCTAATTATCCCCTATTACGATGCCATTCCATCCATTCCATCTGCACCCACAGTCTTAGAGCTTTTTCATTTTGCATCATTTTGATATACCTAATTCTCTCGTCGAATGTATCTTTTTGAAGACAGAATCAATTTTGTTTATCCAAACTTGAGATTATTATTCCAATAAATTCCACTGAATATGAGGATGGGGTAAGACATGCGTTATTCATCCGTTTTGTGTATTTCTTTATGAAGTCTATTTCTCAAAAACATAAAATCGTCCAGTGAATCTTGTTTGAAATCCTTAAAATCTTTGTTTGGTAATTTAGAATTGTCAGTTCGACCTATTCGGTGAATTTTCAGAGGTTTACGGATTCAGATATTTTGTGAAAAAAAAAAACCAAAATTCAGATTTGGTGAATCGCCATGAACCAGATCTGCTGTGAGTAACAAGAAAAATCAGATTAACAAATTCAACGATTATTGTCGCCGGTAGCCTATAAATTTAGAGAAAGAATTCTCAGGTAACAATAATTTTTCATATTCTAATTAAATATAATTTGCATTTTACAGATATCGTGTACCATATGTTGATCCGTTATTCATCCAATTAAAAGTGATTATTCACCCTCTGTAAATCTGTTAGTCATCAAGTAATATATGTATTGCGGAAATTTTGATTCGCATTAGGTGTATGCAGGTCAGATGATTATTTATCATGTTAAACATGTTTATTCATCGTCTATTAAAAGGTTATTCATTATGTAATCTGTTCATTTTAATTTGGCATGGATTAGGTAGATGCAAATATAGTTGTGGTTCATCCTCTAATGTACCATTATTCATCTAAAGATCAATCTAATATAACAATGTGAATGTATCATGTGAATTTGTGTGGTTCATCATTTGAATCTGTGTTACTCATACTTTAAATATCATTCATCCTGCAAAGATGTGGCATTCATTTTAATGGTAGTTATTCATAATGTAATATGTGATTATATACAATGGTAAATATGTATCATTAATCGTGTAAAATAATTTTATTCATCCTGTCAATATATGTCATTTATCCTTTGAACACATGTTATTCGATTTATGTAATTTATTATTTATTCATTATTTCCAAAATGATTATTCATCTTCAATAGCATTGTTATAGATGATTAACAGAGTTTAGATTGAATGTGAAAATCTCGCTTACTGTAATGTTCTTTTTGTTTGATCAGTTGCAAAGAAATGTTCATCAAGATGAACTTGATCGGTCGGGAATCAAATATTTGGCAGATTTGCTGAAATCAAACAATCAATGTAAATGTATCGAGAATCAGCAAATCCTTCAAAACCTTATATGTTAAAGACAATGACTAGTTTTTTTTTTTTTTTGTTCAATTTTGGTGTAGTATAATGCATAATTAGAGGTTAGCTTAGTTGATGACATTAACTCATTATAAAAGATACTCTTATTATTTTTTATCAAAGTTATTCATTTTGTTCAGCATTATTAATCCACTAACGATATTTTATTCATTCATTAAGTTACAATTATTCATTATAATATTGTGGGTGAACAATGGTACTATTATAGTGACAAAGTTATTCATCTAACAAAATTATATATATTCTTCATTTTAGTATTGTTATTCATCTAGGATGGGGTCATTATTCATCAAAATTTATTCATCTTTGTAAATATCGTTATTCATTTCGAAATTCAAATTTATTTATCCATAACATTGTCACCATAAGAACACCATTATTCATCCACAATATTATCATTATTCATCGAAACAAATATCATTATCCATTTTTCTCAGTCAGCGCAAGTACACCTTGGATATTATATCTGAGGTTGGTTTATTGGGCGCCAAGCCATCTGGTTTTCCCCTTGAACAGAATCATCAACTCCCGCTCATAAATGATGTGCTCCTTCCTGATCCAAAACGATACAGACGTTTGGTTGGTCGCTTGATTTATCTGGCAGTTACTCGTCCAGAAATTTCTTATTCTATTCATATGCTTGCGCAGTTTATGCAGAAACTTATACAAGCTCATTGGGATGCGGCACTTCATGTTGTTTGCTATTTGAAGGGTCATCCTGGTCAGGGTCTTTTTCATAGTGCTTCGTGTGATCTGCGGATATCTGCTTGGTGTGATTCTGATTGGGCTAGCTGCCTTACCACTCGTCGTTCTTTAACGGGTTGCTTTGTTCCGTTAGGGCATCCTCGATTTCTTAGAAGAAAAGGAAACAATAGACATTTGCTCGTTCTTCTGCTGAAGCTGAGTATCGCGCTATGGCTTCTACTGTCTGTGAGTTGAAGTGGCTTCGGGGTTTGTTACTGTCTCTAGGTATTACTCATTCGCGATCTGCGAGACTATTTTGTGATAACCAGCCTGCTTTGCACATTGTTGCTAACCCGGTTTTTCATCAACGCACCAAACACATTGAGGTGGATTGTCATTTTGTGCGCAATGAGATTACCAAAGGTACAATTCCTCCAAGTCATGTTTGTTAACATAATCTCTCAAGATCAAGATCATGGCACTTCCGAAATTAATGGATCTGAGTGTGAGGTGCAATACAGTGTATGGTATTATAAGGCGGATCACACCCGTCAATGATGAGATATGTCTGACTATCAAGAAATCTTAGAGTATCTCGAAATCCTGAGGTTGATTGCTTCCAATAGTTACTTAAAATAGTTTAGCCTTATCTTGTAAGGTTGCTGTAAAAAAGCTCTTCTATAAATATATAGCTACTCAAATGAATAATGTATCGAGTCAGAAAAAATAGAATCAATATAATCCTTGTTTTTACAAAACAAAACTATTCTGTCTAGGTTTACTGTTTTACGTTTTTCATCATGGTATCAGTACGGTTCGTCCGTTATATAGCTTACAAATTTAAGATGCTTTCCGATTTATTCAGTCCTAAACTTCAGTTGGGTTCTGGTCAGATGTTTCAGCTCGGTAATATTCTGTAAAAAATTCGCGATCTAATATGAAAAATGAATGGAAGAAATCTACCCAAACTCGTTGGGTTGCAAAAGATGTTGAAGGTGAGATCATGGAGCTTGATTTTTTTTTTCCGTGTACGGTTACTTTTGAATCATTCAACATAGGGATTTCTATATTGCCTTTATTTTGCCTCGTAGATAATCGTTGCAGATTCTTTATTTACTTAGGTGCAATTCGTGGATGGCCATGTCAAGTCAGATTAGACCACATTGTTGAGAATGCTAAAATTTTATTAATGCACGGTTTAAACGGATCATCAAGGAAATGATTAAGATGATTGATGAAGGGAATGCTTCTGGTAAAGAAGAAGCACAGGTTAAGCAATCAGAGAAGAGTATTTGATTACTCTTGTTGAAACAAATTACACAAAAGCATCAAGTTCCTGTTGTATAATTTAAGGTTTTTAGAAGTCATCTAAACCCAAAAGGAAAATTTGTCTGCGGCATTTGATCAAGGTTGTCCAGACTATTCCTTACTTATTTTTCTCTGAGCTATGATGGTGGCAGCTTCATTAATTCTTGAAAAGAAGCTTCTCAGTAAAAACACAATGCTTCACAAGATGAAACAGCCTCCCAAGAGTTTTGAGGATTTTGTGGCTCCACATTTTTTCGGCCTTGGAGAGTCCATGTTAGCAGATATTACAACATATACAAATGGTGACGCAATCCTTGTTCAATACACGAAGGAAGCTATAGTTGGACCAACAGTTTTGATAGCTTCTAATCTTGGGGATTCCAAAAAATTCGAATCTAATATGTCAAAAATCCTTTCTGATTTCAAGTCGGCCTTGCGTACGCCCAACCATTCTATAAAATTTCTCAAAACGGGAAATAAGAGTGTCAAGAGGGGAAAGAAGAATGTAAAGGGGCTGCAGCTCCAGTTACTTCAATGGCAGAAGGAAGTCCTGCAAGAAAGTCCGAACGGTTCTCTAGCAAACTGTTAAAGTTTTTAAAGACGGCATTGGGATGTAACCAATCATGATGGATTTTGACATTAAATTAGGATTGCAATTATGCTTGAGGATTTATGAAATAGTGATAGATTCTTAACTTTTACCAAGAGTTATTTAGATCTATAACAAAAAATTTGATAGATTATAAACTTATATGCACTGTTTGACAGTTCTGTTACACGCTTTAGTTCATAATGAGGTGTAACTGCCTTTAATTTCCATATTATCTCTGTAGACAGTTGAAAATTATTAAATTAGGTTTCCATTTGTTTTTTATTTTTTTGTTTTTTGGGGCGCCTTTTTTTTGGGTGATGTTCTCCCTTTGTTTTGTAGAACAAAAATGATGTGATAGTAGATGGATCGCTAAGGAGTATTCCAAATCATGATGATCATTATGTTGATTTTGATCCTGTGACACTTGTCATTAATCTTTGTTGTGTTGACTTCAAAGAAGATGAAAGGTGGTTAAGATGCATTCAGTCCGAAGCGAGTCTGGTGAGCTTAGATCTTCCATAGAGTTCCCTATGTCCTATGCTGTAGATTCGAGGACGAATCTTTCTGAGGAAGGAAAGAATGATGTGGATTTGACGGGTTTAAGGCCTCCCTAAAACCCTAATTATTTTTATGAAGTTGATGGTAACTTTTGTTGTAAGGTTTTTACTTCTTTTTGTAATTTCCAATTACAAGAGTTTTACTTGTAATAGAAGTAGCTTTTTTAAATGCTTTCCTAGTAGGATTTAAATTTTAGTTATTTTAATATTTTTCCAAATTCAATTAGGATTTCCTTGAATTTAGACTTTGCTTTATAAAGGCCCATTTATCCCTATGAATAGAGTGGTTGGCCAAATTTTTTATAGTGTGATTTGACGAATTTGATGATGAATCGATAAGAACGAGTGAAGTTATTTTTGTGTTAATCTGGGTGATTAACTTTTGAAGTGCATAAACTTGAATTTGGTTTCTTGCAAACTGCGAGGCTACTCTTTTCCGAGATTTGATGTTTCTCAACTTAGATGCTGAGTTTGTGGTTCTTTTGGAACAAATAGATGCGTTTGCATCGCGAGATGGGGATTTAATTCATCCTTTGGAACAAATAGATGCGATAGGATTCGTTCCGAAAACAATTCTTCCATCTTCTGGTCTATCATCTTTTGATTTTTCCATTTGATTCATCCTTGAATCGAAATACCTTGGAGTCGATGGTTGTCTTGGCGAGTTATAGTTGGAACAAGAGTAAGTCTTGGTGCCATAATTTGAAACAAACTTCTGAAATTTAGAGTTGCGCTCTGTCGTCTCCTGAGAATTCATATCATTCGGCCTCAGAGCTTAGATTTGTTCTTTTTTAATTTTTAGATTTTTTTTGTTGGTGTTGAAGTTGATGGCCGAAGGTGATTAGAGAAAAAAAGAAAAAATTTGTTGCTGTTTGTGTTAATGGTTTCGGCCGTAGGAAAAAGAAAAGGGTAATTTTTTTATTTTTTTTTTTTTGCGGGCAGTAGTGTGTGCTGCCTTCGTCGCACAAGGGCGAGAAAAAAAAAAAGTTGTTGTTAGGTGATTAAAACAAATTTCAATCGGAAGTAAGCTTGGAAATTTTTGTCGGATTTGGGATTTGGGAAATTTTTGGTCAGCTTTTGGTTTGTTTCGGGTGGAGTTTTTGCTGCCGTTGTTGGAGACTTGGTCAGCGGCGGCGGCGGAATTCACGGATTGTTGTTGCTGTTGGCTGTGATTTGGGATGATGGCAGAGGGAGTTATTTTGTTGCTAGACTTGGCTGGAGGAAGAAGCTGCTGTTGGTGGTCGTTGGAAGCAGCAGCTGCGGAGGCGTGCACGATGGAGATGCAAATTCTGGAGAAATTGGCCAAGTTTCAGGTTTTTGCAAATTCAGTCCTTTAATATTACGATTTCTCCTACTGAGACCCTATGGTTTCTGTTTGTGCGAATCGGCCCTGCAATTTTCGGTGTGTTTCAATCAGTGCTGGTAGTTTGCGGGTCGTGCACATTGGTCCTCTGATTGACAATATTGGCGGTTTAGTTCTTTTAATTTTGCTGAGAGTGTAATTTGGTTCTTGAGTTTGTGGGTTTGTTCAATTTGTCCATGTTGTGGAGAGATGTTCCGATATTATTATAGCCATGAATATGTGGATGATTTTGATCGAGGAAGAGATAGGAGTCAAAGAATGTATTATTATGATGATTTTGCTCGAGAAAGATATTATGATCGAGGAGATGAGTTTCGAGTTCGTGTTCATGACAATCATGATGGTACTTTTGGTCAAATGAATCAACATTATAAGGATATGAAGAAAGAAATCGAAAAGATCAATGAAAAGCTTTCTTGAATACTTGATTCCTTGCAAAAGAAACAAACGCCACTTAACGAGGTGACCGAAGACGTAACCGAAAAAGTGATTGAGAAGGTAATCGAAGAGGTGACTGAGAATGTATCCAAGGAAGTGATCACAGAGGAAGCCGTGAAGGTGACTGAAGAGGTGGTTCAAGAGGTGCGTGCGGAGCTACCAGGGAACATAATGTCCAAGGTTCAAGCCATTCCAGTTGATCAAGTCAAAGAGCAAAGTCTTTCATCACAATATTTGGAAGTTGAACTCATAGATTTTGTGTTTGGCAATTTATTTTCAAGAGAAACTATGATTTTTCATCCCTTCAATATCTTTCTGAAGGTTTTTTGTTCGGGGTTGTTCTATAGAGAAAGGAAAAGATCATGGTGTCAATTGTTCTTGTATTGTCACATGTTCCAAGATTCGAAGACGAATCTTTTTGAGGAGAGGGGGAGTGATGTGATCATAGATGGACCGCTAAGGATTATTCCAAATCATGATGATCATTATGTTGATTTTGATCCTGTGACGGTTTCCATTAATCTTTGTTGTGTTGACATCAAAGAAGATGACAAGATTTTTAAGATGCTTTTAGTCCGAGGCGAGTCTGGCAGCTTAGATCTTCCATAGAGTTCCCTATGTGCTATGATGTAGATTCGAGGTCGAATCTTTCCGAGGAAGGAGGGAATGATGTGGTTTGACGGGTTTAAGGCCTCCCTAAAATCCTAATCACTTTTACGAAATTGATGGTAACTTTTGTTGCAAGGTTTTTACTTATTTTTAGTAATTTCCAATTACAAGAGTTTACTTGTTATAGAAGTAGCATTTTTAATTGCTTTCCTAATAGGATTTGAATTTTAGTTATTTTAATATTTTGCAAATTCAATTAGGGTTTCCTTGAATTTAGGCTTTGTTTTGTAAAGGCCCACTTATCCCTATAAATAGGGTGGTTGGCCAAATTTTTTATCGGTGTGATTTGACGAATTTGATGATGAATTGATAAGAACGAGTGAAGTTCTTTTTGTGTTAATCTGGGTGATTAACTTTTTATGTGCATAAGCTTGAATTTGGTTTCTTGCAAACCGTGCACCTACCCATGTATGAGATTTGGTGTTTCTGAACCTGGATGCTGAGTTCGTAGTCCTTTTGGAATAAATCGATGTGTTTTCATCGCGAGATGGGGATTTAATTCACACATTACCATAGGGTTTGTTCCGAAAACACTTCTTCTATCTTCTTGTCTACCATCTTTTGATTTTTCCACTGAAGTCATTGGTTGGCTTAGCGAGTTATAGGTGGAACAAGAGCAAGTCTTGATGTCGTAATTTGAAACAAGCTTCTGCAATTTAGAGTCACGCTCTGTTGGATCCGCAAGGATTCATGTCAAACATTTATGTATAAATTAAAATGTGGTGGAAGACTCTGTTGGATCCGCAAGGATTCATATAAAAAATTTATGTATAAATTAAATTAATGGAAAATTCATGAGCAACAAATTCGTATAAGAGAAAATTGACAACAAAATGATATTTCCATGTACATATATGACTCTTTTGTTCAGCAGGTTGTATTTAAAGAGGAAAGCTATGACTCTCAACAGAGAAATGTTCCCTAGAAGACTTATAGTGGGGAGAGTTTCTTTTAGTTTAGTCCATGTCGCAGAAAAGCCTTTTCCTTCATGCACAGGTCATTTGACTCGATCAGTGAAGTAGTTAGCATTACTTGTTTTGGAATCATGGATATGATCGTTAAATTTCCCATTACGAAATCGGTCAATTCCAAGCTCACTTGAGTTCCTTGCAAAAATCAATGCATGACTAAGTCCACCAATGTTTTGCTATCTTCTGAATACATTCGAAGGGCACTTCCTTGTCTCACCTCTCCTCCAAATGTCCGAATTTGATGACAGGCACTGTTAGTATTGACATGAAATATATCACTTCTCCCTATTCTCATGTACGTCTCCCCACCTCCATTGCTCAACATTTCTGACCTTATTGTTAACTACCAACCTCCCCCATCCCTAGACCTCATAATCTTCTCTTCATCTTTCAAGATAATTTACAGCACCGACACTGTTAAAGGTTGCATAGTGGGTAGCGTATTTTCTAGTTTTCTCTAGTTCCTAGCTAAAATTAATGCATCCTTGTATATCTTTCTCCACTGAGAAAACTTCCAAGTTAGATTCGTGAGAAAACATGATTCCGGTCAAGACATCCGAGGAAGGCGAAATCTGACTGGTGATTGATATTGGTGTCTCCAATGATATTGGTGATTGATAGTGGTTAGCATTCCGATCTAAACTAATGGTTTGGAACAAATATTCTTAAATCTTTGGTTTAATTTAAAGTTCTTCTGACATCTACATATATCACTGAAGGTGCATCGTCGGTTTAGCCAATATGTGGAATCTACTTGAAAAGTTGTTCCATTAGAGGATCTTCTAGAACTTGGGAGATTGATCATATAATTCTCGTGTTCAAAAGAGAAAAAATTCCTCAAAAGTAGAAAAAATTGTAGGTTATTGTTCATTCAAACAAGCCCACAAAAGATATTGAAATATCCACCACGATCGA